CCATTCCCGGCTCCATTCCCGGCTCCATTCCCGGCTCCATTCCCGGCTCCATCCCGCTTCCTTCCCGCTTCCCTTCCGCTTCCCTCCCGGCTCCTTCCCGCTTCCTTTCCTGGCTTCCTCCCGGCTCATTTCCAGTTTCCTCCCGGCTCCTTCCCGGTTCTCCCTCCCGGCCCCGTCCGCCCCCCTCCCGTCTCCTTCCCGCTCCCTTCCCGGCTCCGTCCCGGGTCCGTCCCGGTTCCCCCTTCCCCGGCTTTTTCCCGGTTCATTCCTGGCTCCTTCCCGTTTCTCCCTTCCGGCTTCTTCCCAGTTCCCCCTCCCGGCTCCATCCCGGCTCCGCCCCGGTTCTCTCCCGGCTCATTCCCATTTCTCCTTCCCGGTTCTCTCCCGGCTCCCTCCCGTTTCTCCCTCCCGTTTCTCCCTCCCGTTTCTGCCTCCCGTTTCTCCCTCCCGTTTCTCCCTCCCGTTTCTCCCTCCCGTTTCTCTCTTCCGGCTCCCTCCCTGTTCTTTCCCGGCTCCCTCCCTGTTCTTTCCCGGCTCCTTTCCCGGTTCTGTCCTGGCTCATTCCCGGCTCCCTCCCGGTTCTCTCTGGGTCATTCCCCCATTCTCCCGGTTCTCCTTCCCTGCTCCCTCCCGGCTCATTCCCGGTTCCACCTGCCAGTTCATTCCTGTTTCTCCTTCCCGGTTCTCATTCCCTGCTCATTCCCGTTTCTCCCTGCCGGCTCATTCCCTCTCTCTCCTGGCTCCTTCCCTTCTTCCTTCTGGCTCATTCCCCCTCTCTCCCGGTTCTCCTTCCCAGTTCTCCTTCCCGGCTCTCTCCCGATTCATTCCCAGCTCCTTTCCCAGCTCCATCCCGACTCCTTCCCAGTTCTCCCTCTCGGTTCATTCCCGGTTCATTCCTGTTTCTCCCTTCCGTTTCTCCCTCCCGGTTCATTCCTGGCTCGTTCCCGTTTCTCCCTCCTGGTTCATTCCCAGTTCATTCCCAGTTCATTCCTGTTTCTCCCTTCCGACTCATTCCCGTTTCTCCCTCCCAGCTCATTCCCCCTCCTTCCCGGTTCTCCTTCCCGGCCCCTCCCCAGTTCTCCTTCCCGGCTCATTCCCGGCTC